CCCAATTCGTTTTGGGTTTTTTAAGTAATCAGTAAAACTTGGCACATATACAGATGAATGGGCCAGAAGACCGTTCTGTTATATCAAGTAGTTATGATGTATATATCATCTTCATTGGCCCCAGTCAGAATGGGTTTATGTTTGATGGGTTTACAGTTTGGTTTGCACGGAAAAAGAAATCCTCAAGTGCCGTGTGTGTATGTCTTGTCTGTTGCCTAAAATCCCAGTTTTGTCCTTCGTATCAAACCCGTGATATGTCAATTCCAGACGGCGGTTCTGAAAGAGATTAAAATATAAACTGTTGTATGTCAAAAAATCAGAGAGTTTGTGGCAATACATGTTCCACACTATGGGAACTTGCTCTCACGACCATGAACCGGATAAGGCAAAATTTGCGTTTTGTAAATCAGAAAATTGTGTGTTAGTCCGGTTTATTTGTCCTCCTTGCTCTAACAGCAAATATTTTGGCACTGCATTGGCAATAACCACTGACTATTGTTTATAATGGTAACAGTACCAGTGCCATTGTCTCTGCCTCAAAGTTTCTATACAATTTCTAGTGTTCATAACATGAACTATGTTCCATTAAACATGCATTTCTATAATAACGATAATTCATATTGTTCTGTTCTTTATGATGTTAAGTAATGTTCTAAATGCCCAATCTTTATATCGCAATGTTCTCTTATTAAAATGTCACAGTACTCATACAATGTTCATTGTACGTATCAAGAACAAACTTCCTGGTGAAACAGCGACAATCTTAAAGGTAACAATGCGTTGTATTGTTCCAAACATGACGTTACTCCATTGTAACACAATTGTCAAATCCATAAGCCAAGAATGCTAGAACTGCATTGTCTGCAATGATCGAAACGCATCATACCAAAATGTTCTCTGTCTGATCAACGATCCTTGATGATAGCAACGGGTTACAGGTTCATCCTTTGCTCTTAATTAGTCCATCACTTAACAATTCAGTAGATGTCTAATTTTATAGCTACGGATTGCGTACTGTGTGTCATTTCATATGTGTCAGAATTTTACACGTATCTAAATTGAGACATTTATGAATGTTCTACTGACGAAGTGACAAACCCCGTCGCATTTATTATGACACTTGATAGTTCTGTTAGTGCTAGTTTCTACATGAGTACATGTAAGCCTTTAACCTGTATAATTAAAAACAAAAACAGGGTCTCTACCTAGCATACTTGATCAAATTTATAAAATCATTTATGAAATCTCTAATACAAACTTAAATGGAGGGCCTTTCAATTCTAACGACCATTGTTTTATACAGTCTGGAAAGTAATAATTACTAATTCAAAAACGTCTGAATGGCAATTCGTTAGGACAAAGCCTTACGCATGCACCTTGTTCAACAAGTACCAGTATTATTACATATATGCACGTACCTGTACACTATAGAATATAAGCATAAATGATCAGAGACATAGGTTACCTTTCCTAACAGTGCTTCAAATTCGGCAACAGTCTCTTATTCTAGTAGCCAGTAAATGTCAGGACGACCGTAGTTTACAAGTCCTGATACATTTAGCTAGACTTAATTGTATCGTCTAGGCATTTACCTAAATTCCCAATGGTTAAGTCTGAGTCTTTCTGGCGGAAATCTCTGTGTCTCTTTATCTGTCTGTAGTGAATCCTGAATACACTATATGTCCTGTCACATCTGTAGGGAATGTCTGAAAGTCGATATTACTACAAAGTGTCTCTAAGCATAGATTATATAAGCCTCATCTTCTGACCAATCACGGTGCTTCTCTCATAAAAGTACAACGTTGGTTCTATCTCCTCTGCTTTGTTCACTATTATTTTTTCAGAGCGATTTGCATAACGGCCGTTATGAAGTATTCCGTGAGTAAAAAAACTTTAGATTAGAAAGTGATACGAACTATTCGACAGACTGTTTATATCTACATGTATAAAATCAATCCGCCTGTACGTCAAAATGCAATAGAAGTTCACAGATTATCTTTTATGGGGACTCTAAAACCTGAACATGTTATTGTATTAAGCTAAAGTAAGTAGATTCTGTCACTTAACGGGTGTAGTATTTACCTGTTTTAGGATCCAAGTCACGGTCACCTGTCTGTTTCCTCAGCTCTGTTTCGTTCACAGGTAAACAAGGCCGTTCTCCAGAATGTACAACAGACGTCCGTGCAGTTCAATCTCCCGACCGCGTTCTAAACTATGCAAACATCGTTCTTTTGCTCCGCAGTGGCTACAATATAACAGTAATGCGTGTGTTTATGCCATTGTGTATGAAACGTACCATAGCAATGTATTAAGTTATTCTCTATACTAGCCCCGTAGTATACAGGCTAGTGAGTATACAAAGGGCGCTCAAAGGGATACAAAAGGGGAGGGAGAAGCGGGGTTCAAAAGGTTGAAATCCGCAAGCAGGACATCGGCGTTTTCTGTGTGTGCGTTAGAGTATCGTGATTTCTCATTGTGGCGTTTCCCATTTGCTCGCTATTTAAGTGTTGTCATTTTGCCGGTCAATTTGATAAATACACTGGAGATATCAATCATAGGCTTTGAAGTTTTGTGTGAAATTGAAAAGCTGGGTGACGTAAGGCAACGCCTTGCACTTAAGACTAGTCGTCTCACTGCAATTACAGGTTATTGCTTTCAAAAGGACCGGTCTGTGCCCCCCCCCCCCAACAAACACACACACACACACACACACAGACACACACACACTAGAAAAAACTATTTTAATGAATATTCGTTTTGGTGCCGAAATATTTTCAATGTAAAAGGTAAAGATTCGAACTCAAACTTACTCTTAACATGAATCCTTTCTTAACTTGGTTTTCGCAAAGTGATAAGTTGAATTCTCATTTTTATCGGAACTTTTTTCATTCTATATAAATTTGTATTTTAGAGCAGAAGCATTTCAATCATAAAGAGAAAAGTTTTATTATTCTTAAAAAAGCAAAGCGTGTCTCTAAGATAAGGCGTAAGTCTAGATGCTCATGAAATAGCGATAGAACAGAAAATCGATTTATCTCCTGTCTCGTTTAAAAAACAAGCATGTTTTAGGAACATGGTCACAGCGAACTAAAAAATGATACATTTTAAAAAAGGAATTTGGGCCAGGTCTCTTAAATTCATTTTAAGTAATATTTCAAACGTGGGAAAGTTTTGATCGTACTAGTATAGACGACGCGGTTATGTTGTCAGAAATGTAAAATTGAAAAAAAATCTGTGTATATATGTTATAACCACTGAAATTAATATATTACCTTACCCTATTCAGAACTCGGCCAAGCATATCGATATATCAGGTAACATAAGGAGCCCCGTCAGCTGTGATTACATAAATATGTGTTCATAAACTGGATGAACGGAGAAATAATAATAATAATATTATTACCAAGGCGCACAGACTGTAGTCACCTAAGATTTGGCGAAATCAATTTTCGACAGCGAATTTTTATTTCCTGTTAAAACGTAAAACAAACGCTTGGTTGTTTTTCGGATATTGTGCCTATTATGTCGTCGAGATATTGAGTCGAAATATTCTTGTACAAATGTAACCTTTTTACAAATATGATACCGGTGCCGTAAAACGAAAGGCATTCATGACGCTATATTTGAAGTAGTGAGGACACAGCAAAGCATTTGTTTCTGATTCAGGCATTTGTGTTTCTATTTCTATTCCATGTGTTTAAGTTTTTTATTTTCATTCATATATTAATTTTTATCTGGGAAGTGATCATTTTTTATCGCTCCACAAATTAATGTATGTTTTTAGATGGCACAAAGCAGCAATGGTTTCTAGACGATTAGTATCTTTTTCTTATACTATTAATATTTTATTATTATGTAACATCACCGCTCTTCCAGTTTATGACTTAATCGTTGAAAGTTTAGAGCAACTGGGGTGAATAAACAGCGTCCCGCTTTACGGCACCGGAATCAGATTGGTAAAAAGTTACATTTGACTCAATTGCATTTTATTTCATTTTATTTATCATTGTTATTATTATTATTATGTTTTGGATTATTTTTATTAGTTTTCGATTATTATCCATATCCTCCCTTTTTCCTCATCCATTTATGGCACTTCATACATATTCGCGTTCTATACACGTGTACCAGTTTTGGTACTGGACGCTACACAGGTGCACGTGTTTATGAATGTGCATGCGTGTGCATCCTTAACCCATTGAAAAAGAAACTTTTCATGCCCACTTGGCTTGAAATCTCAGTTACTTCAATACATAACAACCTGTTTGCCGAGATCAATTACAAATTATAACACCGTTTCCAAAATGTTTACACCGCAGGAAGAAAAACATTCTCACAATATAATCAACAAACAAAAATAAACTCAAGAATGTGTAAGATCAATACCGGAGTATTTGCTCTTCGCTATTGATCCACCATGCGTAAGTTGTTTTCTGGTTTTGGTTACACACTGACAATTATAGCACATTATATGGTCTAATCCCCGTGCCGTTGACCGAGTAGCGCACGGAAAGAATGCCTATTAGCTTCATTTTCGGTGCTATGCCCCATTCATTACCTGGTTTAAGTCTTAGCGCGAAGAACGCATTTTAAGGCACAACATAAGCGCGTTGGGCCTTCAGTTGTTTACGTGAATGCAGTAGCATCCTGTCAACCTTCAAATTTTTTGACGACATTGATTAAATTCTAATTGCGGTGATGATAATTATGATTATGTTTAAATTTTTAAATCTAGTTCTCTCTGATCGGTGACTAAAAACCGAGCTTCGATACAGACATGCCAGCTGATAAACAGTGCATGTTTCGCAAATACACAAATATCTATAATGAATATTAGCATTATGAGCATTAACTACCCTTAAAAAACCCTAAGCGGCCCAATAAGTCATCTTCGTCGAAATAGATGTATTGTAAGATAAACACGCGGGCGACGTGGCAGATTAACAGTGCTACAAAAAAAGTATTAATAAAAAATATATAAAAACACTATCAACTTTCCAATCATTTATTGCCCTGTGTCCCAAGCAAAGAACTAAAATTCAACAATTCTTTCCGTTTTTTAACTCCTTTTAAATTAACTTTGTAGTAATCGAAATACAAACAAACGTTGCGATTCGTATTTTCCGTTTACTTTGTCAATTATCCCATAAACATCATTAAAGTACGCATTCCCACAGTTTTTCTTATATGACGTTACACATTGTTAATTTATTGTCATTGGTACTATTAGTTGAATATTGTCATTGCAGTGCGATATCAGTTCGCCATGGAGTATCACAAAAAGTTAAGTCACACTTCGTTACAACGTCAAACAGATTCATTGTCAGATAAAGGCTCAGATTCTATTTCTTCCTTTTTAAATCAGTGCTGTGTCATATTGTAAATTATCGTCCGTGGCATGTTCATATTGCGCTGTAATCTTTTTTAATTTTTGGTGCCGTTTCCCTAAAATCTGGGTCATTTCAGATCATATAGGTCCATGATTTTTGATTCGGCTCCTTGCACTGGTATTTTTTAAATTCCTTTTGATCATTTCATTATTCATGGTGATTCAGTAGCATTATCTGCGCCACGGGCTGTTCATGGCAATACATTGGTTCGACAGCAGCTGTGTGCTTGCGTTCCCAATGGCGGCGTTCCTACATGAACGGTTAACGCTAACCAAATGGTAATGAAAACTGTATCCCACACATTTGTAATACTGGACATGTAATCGTTTTCTTTCTTCAGCGCCAAATCAAACCGACTCCTCCTATAACATATACCGAAGTTAATCCCTGTTTTACCTGTGCTCCCTCTCCCACCAAATGGCAATGTGGTAAACCATGGACAAAAGTAACTTTGCCCATTTTTAAACAAACGAGGTGTCCTCTGTTAATCACATTTGACTAATTTTGAAGTCAGAAAATGATAAAATATTCAATAATTTTCAACCTGTAACACACGTGTAGCTCTACCAAATATGATGTGCTGTCACCTTTTGGGTGCTGGAATAAAAGGATGTAAGCCGTGTGGATGTGGAATTATACGGTATACTGGTTATGCTGCTAGCAGTGAATCGGATCCCGTAGCCACGCCTAGACCGTAAAATGTTAAAAGTATGACCGGAAGAGTTTTGTGTGTGGTTGGTTTTATCCCTCCACCTGTAACCTGAAAAATACAATTGTACAAATGCCCATACAAGATGCGCTGGAACATGTACATGCAAATATACAATAACCCTCCACGTATACTAGGTATGTTAAGAAGGGATGGCACAAGAATGGAATAATACCCATACACCCATGTCATGCATATAATCCTTCCACATTTTGGCAAAGGAAGTGTAGCATAAGGGCAAAAGATGTTCTGATATATAGAATACCTATCTTTTTGCAGGGTAGGTGGACATGCAAATAGGACTTTGGAATATTTTTTTAGCCGTGCATACAGTATACATTAATAATACTTTTAACCATTCTTTTAAAAGCGTGTTAAAATCTATACAAATTAACTAATACATCTAATCCCTTAAGTTGCAGATCGCAGAAGTGGGTTAAAACGATTAGAATTAAACGAGCAAGAAAGGCTGTTTCGTCCTATTCATCTTCCCGCTGCTTGAGAAAGTCTACAACGTGTCCGTGTGTCATGTTGAATAGCGTTGTGATTGAGACAGCACGTGTGTTTTGGGTGACAGTGTTTTGATTGTCAAGTGTCTCGTCAGGTGTCAAATTTAGTCGCTTTGTGAATTGCATGGCGTCTTCGATGTGACTGTGTGTTAAGTCAAACAATTCAGGAATTGTGTCATTGTGTTAGGTTTGACATTACATTGTGTTAGGTGTGACAGAGCATTGTGTTGGGTGACACATCGAATTGTGTTAGGTGTGACATCGTATTGTGCTTGGTGTGACACTGCATTGAATGGTTCTCCAGTGGTTGACCTCCAAATGCGTGGCATTGTGTGATTGCCGAGCGCTAAAAAGAAAGGTAAAAAAAGTTGCAATATTGTACACAGGGTTAAGGAGTGTATTGAATTCAGTTGTAAATCGATAATGACTGTCTGTCAGTGTATATATGTGAGCACAACATTTTCGTGTGTGGTGTGTCGCGGGAATCTTCAAGTGATGTCCGTCTCTGTCAGCACACGTTGTTTCTCGTCTAGAATTTGTCTTCTCTCTTTCTTCTTTTTCTTCTTTGAGCCTCGTTTATCAATCTGATGGAAAATACCAAAACACATAGAGTTAAACAAAAAAGATAAACCGAATATTTATTATTATTATGAGAATAATTTCAGTGCTTAACAAGCGTCTCATCAACCGTGCACAATGATTAATCAATATGTATTTTATATTACAATGAATTAAAAAGGCAAAGTCGATGAATTAGAAAAAGATTAAAAAATATGTTAAAATTAAACATGAACAGAATGCTTTAGTTTTCGTTATTTTATACACACATCGAATTCAGTTCACCTACAACATACATTAAATAGATCTAGGTCAAAATCAGAATGGCCTGTAACTTACTCCCCGTCCTCGTCCACTAAGCAAGATTCCGCCATTAACTTCCATTTTTCAGCCTTGGGAAGTATTTCGTGGCTGAGGTCTCTCCCGTCACACGTTCTTTCATCATTGGTCGGATCACCGTCGAAGTTCCCAAATAACCCTTCCACTTTACCTCGGTAATGTCCGGGTAAGGTCAGACCGAGGTAGTGCCTCTTAAGACTGACTATAAGGTTAATTTTCGCAGCAGTTTGAATGGAAATGGCTCGCTCGTTGACAGTTTTCCCTTGCTTTCCGCGGCGGTGGTAATACTTGTTTACTAATTTGATAGAAATTCCATTTTCTTCATAAGGAAGTGTCACCTCTTGATCGTCGACCTTAAATGACAAAAAATAATAACACATTTCCTGTATAAAAATTAAAAGTTCAATTATAGGAATATTTTCATGAGAACAGCAGCCCTGAGGACACCTATTTGCACTGCTAGTGGTGAATCTGGGGGTAGTCAGGGGGGCCCTGACCTCCCCTACAATTTCTGAAAAAAAATCACACTACTGGTCCCCTCTTGAAATCAGAATTTTGGCTAGCAGAATCATACTTCTAAACCGTACAAAATAACACCGTTCGCCTTTTAAAATACGTATCTTTGGGGCCCTTCAAAGGGTCCCGAACCCCATGCCAAGATGGGGGGAGATCGGTGTCGTATTCGCGCCCCCCCCCCTAAAAAATCCTGGATCCGCCCATGTATATACATTATGTTATATATATGTCTTGTTGGAATTTCAAAATTGGCATGGAAGGAAGGCCTTTCGTTGTCTACCTCGGCCACTTTTGCGACGTATTCTACCTCTCTGGGTATAATTGGCGATTCGTCATCTACTTGAGTCTTGCCTAGATGGACTTAATACGTCCTAAGTGCCGCCATGTTATTTTCTACGTTTTTTATCCCTGCATCACTTAGTTCAGATGTTTGAAATCAAATACAGGTTTCTGGTGTCCGAATCTTGAAAGGAAATTATGTGATTCTCGTGGCAAAATTTTTTTTTTTTGCCTAAGCTCAATTTTCTGGTCACATAACGGCGCGATTCAGAATCGCTTGACAAACTTTTCATAATATGGCCCACCTATTTTCATAAAATGAAAATACACTTTACCTGCGCAGTGCCAGTGTTCGAAACCATGATTTTCTTCCCGTATATAAACATTAGCCCAGCTTCCACGAATGATGTTCCTCTTGCAGCTACTGCTTTACTGACAATCTTGAATAACGTCTCTACGTCACCCTGGGTAAAAAAAAACACAATTAAGCCCAATCACTACGTATGACTTACCATTTACGAACAGGGAATTGTAACGGGATGCTGTACTGTTTCAAGAAAATGATAGATGGTTGTGATGGATATAGCTATCAGATATCGCCACAATTCCCCACCTTGTCAAGAGAAGCTCCCCCCCCCCCCGGGCCCCCATCCTCTGAATAACTTTAACACTGCCTAGCTCCTCATTATTAATATACGCCTTAAAAACAGCATAAGGATTTTGTTTCATACATGATTATTAAAAAGTATCGATGAAAAAAATTATGAATGGTAATATTGGAAGTCAAACAGGTTCACCAAGAGGTAAATAGGTAGTTTAATACGGTGTTACACTTGAAGACACACACACAGACGGATTCTTGTGCAGACAAACAGACAAACAGACAGGCAGACAAACAGACTGGCAGACAAACAGACAGGCAGACAGACACGCAGACAGACTAACAGACAGACAAACAGACAGAAAGACAAACAAGCAGTCAGACAGACACAGACAGAGAGGCAGACATAGACAGACAAACAGGCAGACAGACAGGCAGACAGACAGACACAGACAGAGGGGCAGATTAACTGACACACAATATGAAAGAAAGAACCAAAGGTGCAATTACTACGTAACAAACGCAGATAACCACTAAACAGAGCGACATGACGACTGGTAGATAAATATAGGATAATGAAGCTACGGGCAGGGTTGACCAAGACAAAACATACCCGATAAGGTTCAGCCACTCTGCTTAACAGGAACAGGCCGGCATCGCCGTAACTGAATGGCTTGTGGTCCAAGGAATCCCCGTGTGGGTCACCTCTCTCATCTCCTCCGCCACTAGAACAATTGGGTCTCAGTGACGTTATAAAACATTTGCTGAAAAAAAAATACCATCAATGTACCACACTGTTAGATGTGTATATTAAAATGTTCACTATTAGATATCTAAATTATCTTCTAATATTTTGTTCTGTACTTTCGTTCCATCAGAACTTCTTAATCGTCATCTTAAATGATCTTTAAGTCGCGTTTAAAGCTAAGATAAACTGGAGAGTACATGTAGCTAAAGTCGTGTTTTAAGCTAAGTGTAACTAGATATGACAATAATTTTGTTCACATGCTTTTACCTCTTCTCCTCTCACTCACTCTATTTTATTTACCCATCTTCCTCTCTCTCGCTCTCTCTCTCTCTCTCTCTCTCGCTGTCTCTCTCTCTCTCTCTCTCTCTGTGTGTGTGTGTGTGTGTGTGTGTTTGATGAGCTCTACATGTACCTCTCTTTCAATATTTAATTTTCTCTCCCTCTCTCTTTCTGTTGAGGTCCACCCCTCCCTCTCTCTCTCTCTCTCTCTCTCTCTCTCTCTCTCTCGATATCATCTGGCACAATAATAAAAACTCTTTTAAACCACTCACTATCCAGTGAAGCCCTGGCCAGCCTCTCGGAAGAATCTCGTCGGCAAGTCGTACGGCTGGAGCGTCCCTACAACCTCTGCCGGGTGTTCCGCGTTCACAGACACCTTCACGTTGTCCGTGTCGTTATTACACTGTCCAGGGTCCGGGCAGGAAAGGACATCAACTTTGGCCCTGACAGGCGTCTCCAAGGAAATTTGCAAAATGGGTGCTGCAATGTAATATCATTATCGTATCATAATCAAACGAGAGAGAGAGCGAGAGAGAGAGAATTAACTAGGTAGAGGGTTGGGATCGTAAATTTGGTTGTGTAATCATTTATTTATTCGTTTGTAAATTTGTACAAAACCTGATGTGGTAAAAGCAGTTATCAAATATGCTTAGGTGACCCTGGAACCAGCACCTACTGTCCGTGTCGCCCCCTGGTGAGATTTGTCTCTCAAAAAGGGGGACTAAAGCCTCACTGGCCAAACGAATTCTCAAATGAGAAATGAGTATTACATGTATAAATCATAAACAAAAACGAAATACAAGTACCGTTCATGTGAACGAGGTAAGAATAACAATGCCAAGAAAATATCCTTATGTACTAGTAAGAAATACATGAGTTGCTTGGATCATCAACAGAAAAAAATTTAAAAAGCACACAAAAAAGACTATTTTTGTAATATTTATAACTGCGTCATATCATTTGATATGACGCAGTTATAAATATTACAAAAATAGTCATATCACTGAGATGTCAAGAAGTGGAAACGTCAGTTTTGCTGAACGATCGGAGTAGATTTCGGAGGGGGGTGCAAACTGAAATGTTTGCGATATTTTTGTGGCTCGTAATTCAGCATTTTTTCTTGTTCCGATAATGGTCAGGCCACGGCGAAGTCAACCTTGGTAAGAAAACGTTGGTGTCCGCCAATGGCACTAGCCGATTGCCAACAACCTCATATATTAAATCTAGTTAATAAGACACCTGAAGAAAAAGTGTCCGACTTGGTATTTTAAATTCAATAACATTCTCGCTTACCTGATTCTACGGGAAGATTCAGATCCTCTATCAATTCTCTAACAATGGTTGCCGTCAGTTCTGCTCCTCCCAAAAAGTAAGCGAACGTGGTATTCCAATCCTGTGGTGGATAGCTCAAAAACAACCCCGTATTGAGTCGTAATTCAGTGAAAGACCGGGTTCCGCCTGCAATGAGGGTCCCATCATACGTTGGTGCCGAAGACGACATGTGGTACTTAAAGAAAGAAGAGATAAACATATTTATCAAACTATAAAATACAGAGATAAAGATCTTCACAAAAACGGACAAGAAAGTAGAGAAGTTAGGGCCTACGACACTGTCAGAAAAAAATATCAAAAGATTGAAAATAAAGGAAAAAAATGACAAACATAGACATAGATGAATATGTGTACAAACAAATGAAAAGACAGACCCGTTAAGTAGGAGAAATTAAAATTTTCTTCGAGGGAAATAACATATAGATTTGGCGAGAAAACGTATACCGGGGAAGAACACAAGTATTCTTACGATTTATGCAAAAATACATACGACAGGTGGCGTGTGTGAGGTTCCTTCGCTCTCTTTCCAAGAGGCGCTGAATTGCACATTGCCAGTGCGCTGCAGATGATATGTTACGAACCCGCTTCCCTAGGATATTATAAGAAAACATATTAACATTTTGTTTCAAGTTTTAAGAGACTGCTTACCCCATGTGCAATAAGATATTTATTAAGAGTTCTTTTCCAAACAAGAGTGAAATCTGCCATTGCGTGCGATATTGTTTGTGGGATGTGGTTAATTAGATTCTGGACCCTATTCACATCGCGCAAACTCTATACCGTTCCACTTCTTGAAATTAAAAACCTAATAGTCTGGAAATTACATAGAAAGTTGTCTAACCTAGTTAAAATGATTCATTTTGATTTGTCTAAACAGCTCGAAGTGAACTTGTGAAATTGAGCAAAACTTCACGTACCACAATGACAGTTGAATAAGTATATCGCAAATATATGTTAACATATAATAATATATGATAATATATGAGCAGGGCCTAATGTTCACTGTGCTTTCACAACTAACGTCGTAGAAAATTGAAACTGACTCCAAGGGGACTCTCGCTGAAGTCAACAGATTAAAAGATCTTTCGGTTTCGAAAGAAGGTAAACCCAATATTCCCCTCTTGAAAATTGAATTTTAACTTTGTGAACCACAGTTGCCCCCCAAAGCACCAATACCGCTCTCTTTACCAAGAGGGCGAGGGTCGGCCGCAACCTAGGCTTGTCAATCATAAAAAAATCGGACCACCCCCTTCAAATAATCCTGGATATACACCCTTGACATATAATATCATATTGAAACAAAACAATTACAACATGAGTGCAAATATGTAACATCTCCTCGCCTATCTTCAAACGCTATACTATAAAAGATATACTATTCAAGATGGGATAAGATTAAAATATATATATTAAAGTAATCATTGAAGGAAAATTGTAAGAATAAAATACATTGTTCGTCATTCCTTTAAAGTTAAAAATTCACGAAAATCGTTCATTAGTACGTGTAAAGGCACTATGGAATAAAAGTCTGTACCTGTGTATTGATGGTGAATTCTCCACTTATCGTGGCGTACACAGCCATTGGGAGGCAAACTATACGCATTGGAAAACCAAAGCTGTACGCACACAGCGCAAGATTGAAGCGTAATATAGGGGGTCCTGTTGGTATGGTAACAGTCCGATTATCACTGGAACAAAATTGAGAAGGGTGATTAAGAAGCAAATTACCAAAGCTTCCTTATTTGGGTTTCAATGAGACTTTCTTGGTCACTGCAACTAATTTTTTTTCATTTTTTAAACACAATTACGACTACGCATGTTACACATTTTGTCCAATGGTTTCGTCAGTGTATCAAATGCACTTGTGACATTGGCTTAGAAAGTTGCATAAGAGAAGCATCAGATATAAGTAAAGGTTAATGGTTAATTTGTATATTTTAGCTTTCTAAAATTCCTGTTTATCTAAATCCAATCACATTTGAAAACAGCAATCTGAAAACAAGCTAAACCAAAATGGAAAGAAATGCGTCAGACTCACCTGCAATTGAAATCCGTACGAAAATTGACAGCGTAATTCACAGTTGTGGAAATGTTAAAATCAGCGCCATCTATATACGGCGAAGAGGTATTCAGAAAGAGGCTCATACGTAGCTGGGTTAGAAAGTTCACGCTCGCCGATGCACTGAAGACGCTGCAATTGGACTGCAACATACAATACACGATGTATTCAGCAGTGTATGTCGTTTTTGTTTGGCAATTTTTAACATGAATACAACAAACGTCTCTATCACATGTCGCCCCGTGTACATGTATGTCTATTTTTTTTTCATGTGTGTGTGTGTGTGTGCACGCGAGCGCGCGCGTGCGCACGCGTTTACAAGCGTTTACGTAAGTGTTATGCCAGTGCCTACCCAGAACTGCACACAACTCACCGTAGACTGTGCCACTGTCACTGACATCGACGTCGGGAAGATGTTTGTCCCGGTATGGTCCAATTGTCTTATCCTCCTGTGGGTTTCAAAGTGTTGGTGTTCGCTGACCACTCGTACTTGGTGAGAGCTCACGTCGATGACAACGACGGCAGCATACTCGATCAGCACATAGTCTCCGTTCGTGACATTTCGCAGCACCTTTAATAAAGTATCAAGTTGTGAATAGGTCTGTAGTAACAAACTTGGTGAAAACGCCGGTGGGAAACATTGTCATAATAACTACTCAATTCTTAAATGGCGCATTCCATAAAGATTTTATTTTGTAACGAAATGTATTGACAATAAAAAAGGACGCAATAAAATGATCTGATGTTTTTTTCTAAAATCATTAGAAAAAATGCCTTATGAAATAATTACAAGCACATTGTAAGCTTGATGTTAAGATATTAATTTTGGGATAACTCAAACATGTTAAAAATGGTGTTTTTTACATGTATAACGACAATTGACATCAAAAATCTGATACTTGATACTTATACTTTACAAAAGCAAGAAATATTGGCACACGTACGTGATGCAAGCGCAAATCAGGGCCAGAAATGCGCAGCATTCACGCGATACGCGAGGGCGCTACAGTAAGGCTTCACGTGACTCAACTAGCCGATCACAGCACAACAATGGCATCGCACACAGACTCTGTGATAAGTGCTCAGCCCATTATCAAGTAGTGTTATTTCATGGTAACAAGCGTCTGACATGTGCAGAGAAGTTTATTGTAATATATATTGTTCTTATTGTTCCATTATTAAATCTAACTCTGTATCCAAGTAGTAACTATGCTGTACCAAGCCGGGTACTGATGATGTGCAGAGGTCATATATTCCAGAATAAGCCATTACCACTAATTTATAACTTTAATTTTGTTCAATATGTTATTCAAGAAAGAGTTCATGAAAGATTATTTTAATTTGTTTTAACGATTAAAAATCGTGATCTTATTATTTTTATATTCAAATAATTGAATAATGTGGGTAAAATTGGTCTTCCACTTCTTATTTGCATTTTTCCTTTACTACAAGATTATTTTGGAACAGTTGCAGCATTAAAATTTAAAATAAATAGCAATCTGAAAGAAGAATTTTGCATTATTATTAAATGATGATAGGAATTTTGGATTAAGAGATTAGTTAAATACTGAGTAGTGATATTGTCAGTCAATTTATGTAGAATCTGATAATATGATTGAAAATACTGATTGAATTCTTGGCCTTGCACTGGGCAGTTTCACATTTGTGCCAAGTGCTTTTTTTGGACTCCATTGTACAGTGGTAAAAGTTCTTCAATTGCCATGATAAGTTTTTAATCAGACTCTGTATGGTGCTGCTACAGTGTATCTGCTGGTGCTATCGGCAACGAATAAGTTTGCCTTTGTTTCTGAGTGAATCTACTGTCGAAAATCACTATTTCTGAAAATATGTGCGTTTTGCTGAGGGTAGGCTAGGCAATACACGGCAAACTTCTTAGTACGTGTGTACAACGGATTTTTTTTTAAACCCTAGCGATATTTGGTCAGGAGTTGCTTGAAGCATAGCACAACGTTGCTGTCTATCGGCATCAGGCCATAAGTTTATCACGAATTACCCACGAATCGTGAACCCATTCATTTTCCTATGGCAATCTAGCAACTCATTAAAAGTGCACGCATGCGCAGTGGGCTAAGCGTGACGTCATGCAGTGCATTTCTGGGGATGTTTATGATTTAATAAAAGGTATAAATATAGAGAAGGCCGCAAGGGACGTTTTACAAAAAAAAATTGGTCTGGAAATTGGCCTAAACTTTTAGTCCAAAAACTTTCTTCAATTCCAAATGGTTGACCATTCAAATTAAGTTCCAGGGTCCATTTGGTCGGGGGGTGGGGGGGTTAGTGGTCACAGTTCACGGTAAATAATACAATAAATTAACAGTAAAAGCATTTAATTCTTGTTTCACTAATAATGCGAGTCGAATACTGTATCCTGAAAATCACGAATCCCCGACTATGATGACTTTGTTTCACGGAAGTCGAAGAATAAAAATCTACGAGTCACGGGAATGGGGTGCTTCACGAATCACGCTAAATAATATGAAATGTTTCGCGCGTATTGGGAAATAAAAAAGTGGCTTTCACGGGTAACGAAAATTCCCAGTGGGACCCTCAATTAAGGCGGTCCTAGTTGTCTTTGTCATCTCACCTCACCAACGATTGGCCTGCATCTCCTTCCGACGATGACGTCATCATTCTGTAATCCGCTGATTGGTCCATCCATTATCATTATACCGGGTTCTCCATTTCCGCCTGCGCAGGACGTGATATTGGGGCTCCGAGTCCAACTTTTAATGCTGAAAACGCAAAAAAAGCAGTGAGGAAAAAAGGTCGTATTTATTTGTGATGGAGAAAAATAGCATTCACAGCCAAACTTGGTCCGCGGACTAACATGTCCGCGGATCAAATATGGCCGACTAACTTTAAAACTTGCACTATTATAGCCCAATATACAGTGCATAGATTGCCTGCTGGGAATTCGTGGTAAGTGGGCCGGCCATATTTGATCCGCAGATCTGTTAGCCCAAGGAACAACTAGGGTTGCGAATGCAGCCTAAGCTCTAATTGCAATGTCTGCCAGTTCCAAAATTCTCAAATGTATTGATTTACGCGCTTAGCAGACTATGACAACAGATATTGTAGTTGCAGTGATTGCACCGGAAGTACTAGAAGCACAACTAGCACAATCTCAGCCTCTCCACTTATAATTTGCATAAGTGAGAAGTAGTCCTCGTGACCCTCTAGCCTTTTCTGTGCCGAGTTAGGCAGACATTTTAAAAGTAGTGAGACAGGCAGGACCTTCGCTTAGGAAACCTTAGACTATAGCAAAAAAGTAAGCATATGGCATTTATGTTATTTTATAACAGTGATGTCATTCACACTTTATTGTTACATTATAAGTGTACGTTTTAAATTAGAGAATGTACTTTAGTTGCTACTGGTAAGTGTTTGGTCTCACAATAGTGTAACAACAGGGGACTCTCTGTCACGTTACATCGACTCCATCTCGAATTCAAACTACGATGCATAATAATATCCCAGAGTCAAGTTCAAGTTCTTAGTCTAACCGACTCTGATAACATTTTTTTCTTGTCATTATTATTACCAACATAAAAAAATTGCCTTTTATGACTCGTCATTTATCCAAACAATCGAATGCAATTCCGCTGAAAACTACTTCATTATATTTTTTCTACCAAATAATAGTTTTGACTCCAAAGTGTACATTTACAGATGTACAGTTTCTCCTGGCCTTCCATTCTTACTATTTTATTTTTTCCGGTCTCTCTCGCTCTCTCTCTCTCTCTCAATTCAAACAAAAACAGACAATTTAAAAGCAATTTCCAGTGAAGAAAACTTACTCCAATGCAGTGTCCCCGTTTTCAAATATTTCACAGTGAGTCAAGTCCGATCGAATGTACGAACTTCTGTCCCCACTCTGCACGCTGCTGACAGTTTCCACAAATCCTTCACAGTCGTTGCTAACTATAATATCTCCTGGTTTCACGGAAGGGGCCTCTTCTACCCTCATTACTGCATAATGAGAATCCACTTCTTCCCTGTGCTCTATATCATACTTATGTCCGACGCACTTCCTTATAGAAATATCTGAAAAGTTTACATTTAAAATATTATAAAGATCATAAAAGAAGATTTTAAATTATCGTGTTTCTTCTACTAAAGGAATTCAAACCGCCCTGTTTGACTTTTGACTTCATATGCCTGCATTTACATATTATATGCTGGTTAAATCAGCCACTTAAAAACCTCCTTTACACTGGACGGCGTCCTTTCTGCGTCTCGTACTACGGTCCCGATGGAGAGTAAAAAATAATACCTTACATACTGACCCCTAGCCGATCGTTGAGAATTCATTTTGCAACCAAAGCGATACATGTGCCTCTTTTCTACGCCCACAGCGATGCCAGTGTCATGGTCGCACAAAGATCGTAGAAGGACGGTGCGCGTCCAGTGTAAAGGGGGCCTAGATCACACGGAGTTGACGACATAGTTTACCTTGTAGTTTGTGCACTGTAACGTTGCTTAAGATGAGCACGTGAGCAAATTCACTCGGCGGAGTCCCACCCGGCAGGTTTGGATCGTAGCTCGGGTCTGCTTCGTTGTAGGAATAAACGTTGTAGTCAAACCCGTTCAGGCTGACCGGTTGCATGTTAGGATTGTAATTCATAAGAGTGTGGTAAAGGCAAGGTTCGGGTTCGTGTTCGATTGCTTTCAGACTGGGAATCACCTCTACCACATCGAGGACGTCGTTATCCTGCACGTCGGTGAATAACTCATTACCTGTAACTTCTTGTGTCGCAAGTAGCTTGACGGCACCTATATTCAGCATTGAACATAAGGAAACGATTAAGGATTTCTTTATAATATACATGTACAAAGCATGCGTCCACGTTTGTAACTTTTGTTACATTTGTGTACGTTGAAGATACAAGCTATTTTACCGTTAAAATGACCCTGGGGTTGTTCTGTCGACATGGATAACCATGTATAGACGTGGATTGAATTTGGCTATAAAATCAAAAACAAAAGACATTTAAAAATCATCAATTATAGGCCTAACTACGCAGGGCTCCGGTGATCGGAAATGATAGGCGAAATGTATGCACCTCTTTATCATTTAAATCCCTGGTAGCGCCACATTTTGCATCTAAACGAATTTTGCGACGGTTGCGCAATTGGTTCGGTTCCAAATGCGGATCTACACCCTTTTTACATCGATCGTTTTATCCTTGCTTTGTTTTTTATCTGATGGAGCAGGGCACTTAACTGGACCGATCCACTTTGTGAGATTGACAATTGTAATACAATATTTGTTGGGTAACATATTCACCTAACGGAGTCCCTAAGGCCGCATTCAGAACCGCGGTCTATATAGCCAGTGATTCAAACATGGCGACCCATTTGCAAACTTGCCGTCTTATTCCCTTATAGACACTGAATTGATTATGATTATGCAACAAGCATTCAAGTGGGTCGGCCATATTTGATCCGCAGACTAGTAAGTCCGCGGTTGTGAATGCAGCCCAGGAGCACATTCAGAACACATGATCCAAGGACCAACTGATCCGCCAACTAAATATGGCCGACCCCACTTAAAACAAAGCCGTTTAATCCCTTGATGGTTTCTGTCTGTCTTCCTGTCGGCTGTCCTGAAATTCTTTATATACTCAGGCTATTGTCTTATAAATTTCTCAAATCATACCGGTACAGCCCTATCCCTAAGGTCTAACGCTCGATGTGAAAGGTCTTTAATTTAATATCGCACAAGTTTAACTTACCGTCGACTTTCATTCTGACCACCTTGTGGCAAACACCACCGCTCTGTTCGCTTGTAATGATTTTGCCCACTCCGATTTCAGCGAATGGCGTCAAGTCGTCAGTAGCGACCAAGACACCTGGCACCGGGCACTTGTACACATATTCCTCCGAAGGTAAAGGTATTACATTGTCTGCGGTATGAAACCCTACTGAACTGTGTATGGTCCACGTCGTGAAGACGACCTACATTTGAACGGAATAATAATAATAATAATAATAATAATAATAATTAATTACTTAATTAATTAATTAATTATAATGATAAAGATGATAATAACAATAATCATAATAGCTCACAGAACAAGTACTTGCGATTTATAATACAGTAGATCGAACAATCATTATCTACCATAAGATTTTTTTGCATTTCTTTACAGTTATTCGTACACCTTATAACGAAATCTCCAATTGTCGAATTAAATTATGGAATTCGGTATATCTTTGCAAGATTATTGTTCAAGATGGCCATTGTTGGCCTCTCATTCCTAACATCTCTCGAGTTTAAAATTTTCATCAAAAGTTATTACTTAAATTATGTTTACATTGTGCAACTGCATGTAAATATTACAAATTCAACACAAATGTAAGTAGGTAGCAACGAGTTTGGGCGTCATATGAATTGTTTTCCAAGTACAATCAAGCCAAGCATTTAATCAGTATCTATAGAGGTAAACAGCAAGTATATTTTGTAGTTAGTGAACTTTTTTGTCTTCAGCAGAAATTGCACATAAACAGACTGAAACGCAAAAAAGATCTGTAGCTTCATGTTCAAAATCTTTCTCAAATAGGATAACTATAAGCTATGATTGTTTTGTTCAAGATGGCCTATGATATATCTAATTATTATTTGCCTTAGGTATTGGACACATTAAACTAATGTGCGTGGATCGCGGCCATTTTCCAAAAGCAGTTCAACGATATGACTTCTCTAAGCACTTAGACCACGTTCAGATTTAAACATTGATCCAGCTGGATCGACCAAACTCAGCAGGGAATTCTCGGTAATGTGCCATTAGTGTTATCAGCTTAAGGCTTCGTTCACATGGAAAGTCTATTTTCTAATAATCTATTTTCTATTCGCGGTATATCTTGTGATCACGGTCTGTGCCCTGAATATCCCGCGGCGTAATTACTGGCAGCGCGAGCCAGTTACTTCCAAAACTGTTATTAATTCTCGGCTGTGCTCGGAGGAGATTCTGATACCTTGACGCATGCGCAGTAGGAAGTTAGAAAGTTAATGACTGTCGCGGTTGCTTTGAAAAATGTGTTTGTCGATTTTGTGCAACAACAAGACGAAGAAGATGAAGAAGCTACACACACGACAGATACGAGTGCAACCGTCATGATCCGACGGCAAGTTTCTGTGCCATGGCACCGTGCTGAAATCTCAAGGATAATCAGATGACTCGCATATGTTTGAGTAACTACTCAGGCCCTGCCACTTATCAATGATTACATGACTTGTACATGTTTACATAACTACTCAGGCACTGTCACTTATCAAGTCCCTGTCAAGTCCCCTTGACAGCAATCAAACCAGTTAACCGCTCATCTGTGACAATAAAAACAGCTCCCTATGAATAATGGATTGTTACTTCAGGGCTGGGGTAAATAACACCGAACTAGCTGGATCAATCAAACTCAGCAGGGAATTCTTGGTAAAGTGCACTCAGTGTAATCAGCTTAATTGTCTGACATGTTAACTGCCATGGTCTACCAGGGCCACAGATTGATATTCAGTAGATATTTACAGATGCGTGTCTGGTTACAGGTAAATGGATGGCTTTTCTGTTCTGTGACATTGTACTGAAATCTCAAGGAAGGTTACATGACTTGTATATGTTTGCATAGCTACTCAGGCCCTGTCACTTATCAATGATTACATGGCTTGTACATGTTTACGTAACTACTCAGGCACTGTCACTTATCAAGTCCCTGTCAAGTCCCCTTGACAGCAATCAAACCAGTTAACCGCTCATCTGTGACAGCCCCTAATGAATAATGGCTTGTTATTTCAGGGCTGGGATAGAAGATCTATATTTTGGGACATAGTTCAGGGTGTTCCTTCAAACCACTTGTTTCAGCAGACAGAAAAGACAAGCTGCGTAACGAGCGTTACACATATAATGACATCGGCTCCCACTTAGGCACAGCGGGTACAATGCCACCTGCACGCGTACAGATTTAATTGCTTCCATCTGGCCAAAGGTTACAGGGTTGCGCAGCTTAATGTCCACAAAATAATAACTGCGGCCCTGGTAGAGTGTAGTTATGGTCCACTTGTGACTTTGCTGAACTTTGCTCTACAAATTCAACATCAATAGCGCAGAATATTTCTTGTCCTTCCTTTGGTTTTCTCCCCTGTCAGTGTCACGAAGCAAGGCATGGGGTGTTTGGGAGATTTGTATTTGGTTGCAGAAAAAAACTCTCCCCATCACGAGTTTTTCATCGTTTTATCTATTTCTCAATTTGAGTTAACTGACAGGGTAAAAAGGTCCAATCCTCAGGAAAAAGACCCCGTCTCTGACATCGCTGATTACATTAAAGGTTATCTATTTTCTTTTACAGGACTGCGATCACCATGGCACACTAATTTAACCAATGAATATGAAGGCAACCTTTTCCAATGCCAAACACAATGGTTTTGTATTTAATTTAAGTGTCAAATCATATGAATATAAAATAGAACTAGCTATTTTTTTCAACTCTGCTCAGTCTATTTGAATATGTCTTGCAAATCAATGCAGAAGATTACATGTGCTCTTTAATGCTAATGACCTTCTCCTATTTGTGTTTATGTAGTTGGTTGTGTCATAAAACCTGTTGCAAAAATACATGTATATAGTTAATCAATTTCGAACAAATGACACATTTTGTAACTTGCCATTTAAACTCAATATTGCCTTTTCGATACTTTCAGATTCAGTTGCTTTATAAAATTAGACTTGTTTATCAAACGGGAGATACGAGAATAAGAGTTTAATTGCTTTGCCAGAGCCCGCATATAGCATATGTCAACATATCTGAATAAATAACCACTAATATGATTTCGCATTCCTTATATTTACCCCTGAAGCTATCACGGTATATTAAAAACCAAGATTGCCTTGGCCACAGTCTTTGTAAACTGTGTTTTAGTACCAGTGAGGATTATTATTATTATTATTATTATTATTATTATTGATGATGATGACACGATTAAAGCCAGAAAACGCCGCACTTAAATGTATCAAATAATTAGTAGGCTTTTCTTAAAGCAGAAGTATGACACCTTAGCTGTCCAAGTATTTCATTAGTGGATTTCTTCCGTTTTGCTGTCCTTTTGTATACGCGTACGAATTTCTACATACGAGTAAGCGGCCGAATCACTTTGCCCTAGCTGTCTAATCAACATTTATCTTAAAAGAGAGAATGCTATATTTTTCGCTTTTTTGTATATGTGTCTTGTGTTCCTCCACTACTAGAAATAATAAAGATACATGTACATGTAACTTACCCAGATAATCGCCTCCAAAGTCTTCATCTTCATCTTCATCTGATATATTTCCTCAAAGACTACTCAGTTCACGGTCTATTGGGGTTTTATAGTGACATCACTACCAAGCTTCGTGAATCATTCCAGAAGTTTCTGATTGGTCAGATTAAAAGACATATGGCAAATTAACATGTATGAAATCGAGGGAAGGGAAATGGTATCGTGATATTATCAAATTCATAATTCAAAAGACTGACGTGTGTGCGATCTGAGCGCCACCTGGGGTATAGTCAAATGACGCCATTATCGGTGAGTAAGAAGCTTATTTATTAGGGATGGGGAGCATACCCACGATAAATCGATGCACTGACATTTTCTCTTGATTTAGTGTTTAAATGTAACAATAAGCGTTATAGTATAATTCATTAATCCAGCAGTCACTTTAGTTTATCAATTTATAAATAAAAAAATAACAATGGCAGCAGATCACGTTAGAAGGAGAAAGAGGACAGGGAGAAAAACGTAGATGACGTCAATCAGTATTAATGTAGAACAAAGAAGCAATGTCTGTAAGTAAGGAAATGTACTTCATGCTCTCCGCACGCCTACCCCTATAGCAGCCTTCACCGCTGTCTTTTGACGATCACCTTGATGGATTTATGTGATCCAGTATATATACATGTATATCTTAGAATTTACTAGCGTCTTTTATCTAGATGAAAACCAAGACCCCGTTTTCACACTATTTTCCCGATGTGTAGGTTTTATTAAGTTTTTTTTTTTACTTGCCGTCTTGTTAAAGCAGATGCTGCACATGTTCAGTATCATATAGAATATCAAGCGTCATTTTGCATCAATTCTCCCATGTTTTGGATTTATATTCCTTCACTTTTTTTAGAACGCAAGCAGCATATTGAGTATCATATAAATTCTGTTCATGTGCACACTTTTTCTCTTTCTTAAACCTTAATGTCAAATTGTGATTAAATTCTTCATGTTTACGTGAGTTTGACTATCAGCAATTCTTATCGCTAGGAAAGGTGCAATCAGTAGAATATCTTGTTGTTGTTGTTTCCTTTTAACAGTGATTTTCGCAGTAACCATGAGCCCCTTGAACTCGGCATTCTTCTACGAAGTAGTCGGACATGTCGTATCCAATTGTTTACGCATTAGTAAATCTGTCCTGAATATCGCTTGTTTCGTCTACTGGGATGGTGCATCAAGAATTTCACCGCACATGAATGATTAAGTGACTAGTTTATACGCTGTTCGCGGTAGCTGGCTTCTGTATGCACTTTAGCAAACTTGCAACGTTTAAGGGGGCTTTCCCAGAGATTTAGATCGATCTAAAGATTAAGTTTTAGATCGACCTAACTCCCTGGGGGTTGAGGCTAAATTGCAGTCAGCCGAGCGGACACCATAGTTAATTACCCCCTTACAGCTTTTAGTAGGCGGGACAGACGCTTAAGCCGGCCAAGCTAACAGTAATCTAGTGAGACTCCCCTTAGGGATAGATCGATCTAAAAATCTATAGAAATGGGGTCTAAATGTTATTCATATATGTCCACATTGACAACTAAAGTTGGTCCGCGGACTAACGGATCAGATATATCCGACCTGATTGAAATCCTGTGGCGTAATCTCCGCGGGGAATCAATTCAGTGTCCATTAAGGGATTGTGCTGCAGGCTTTCAAATGGGTTGGCCATATTTGATCCGCGGATCCGTCAGTCCTCGGAAGAACTGGTTCTGAATCTGGTCAAACAGTAACAAATATATATATATATATTTGTTTGTTTTTTTTTTTTTGTTTTTTTTTTTTGTTTTGTTTTGTTTTTTGTTTTTTTTTTTTTTTTTTTTTTTTTTTGTTTTGTTTTTTTGCTCAAACAACGAGAATTTTAATCTTTAGTCTTTTTGGAAAGTCTATATACATATGCATCTTTGTCATACACGTAGAGTATAGCTGTTTCCTCGATCGCGGAGCCATGGTCAATCATAAAAACAGCCAAACAAAACAAACACAAAATGCAATTATTTGATGTGAAACAAAAGGGTTACAGATATTTCAACTTTTGCACTCTAGTTAAATTTAAAAATTGCATTTCAATTGTTTGAACTTCAAAGGTAGCAATAATTGCCCTGGTAAATTACACGAGCCAGTCGTCTGAGAAACGAATGCGAACTTCGCCGCAACATGTCACCTTTGTAGATAATACTATAACAAAAAGTACACAAAAAAACATTTTACTAGGTCATATTGTTACGAGCTTTCCTACCTTTATAATACATTCGCATTGTCAAAATCTATTATTCATGTGTGTATTGATGTTCGTAAAATCAAGAACGTCATTTCACGTCCTTGGTAAAATACATTGCTTTCACATGATCTGGAAATTATCAATTATCCATGTTCTGTAGGTATTGAATAAAACTTTTTTATAAAATACTGAATTTTTCCTGCTGGGGGCTTTAATTGTCTTAACAAAATACAGATTTCAATGTGAGCTTCAAATTGTTGATTATCTTTCAAACATATTCAGGCAAAAGCACATGGAGACATGATCCAATTTTGCAACTAGTTCTTTTATCACCAAAAAAAACATCCAACTAAATCAGAATTTCAGTTAATTTATGTAAAGGTTCTGGGATCAAGCCCAAGTCTTAGGACTGTGCAACATGGTTTAATATTGGTACCTGCGGTTTGAAATGCGGATCCCTTCCCTTATGCCTGTTGTAGAAACAAGTCATATACGTTTACTTTGATCGTTGATTCTGCATTGGTTTGCAACCCACACAAATGTACGTTAAAAGTTCAAAGTCTAGTGTATAAATGTGGATTAAGGGCTTATTGTGAAATTGTGAGATACATTCCACTGCAACCACATTGTTTACAAGATGAGAACGCCTGGTTGGAAGTTGTAGAGTACATTACATTTATACAATTATTGGAAAACTTTTCCGCATAATGGCCTAACGAAGGCATGCTTTTTTCTACAGTCTACCTATTTAAGGTGTTGATTTTACCATACTGAATAGACATAAAAGCAGTGTTAATGAAACAAATCCTATTTCATGTATCCAAAATGACATCAATGTACACTTCTCTGTTTCTGGTCAGTCCCAAAAAGAGCGTTCTTGGAGCAGACATGTCCAAGGGGCGAACTGAGCTCCCAGAGTCAAAAAATATATATACTTATATATAAAGGAAAGGGGGTTTCATAAAACATTGAGAAAATGAAATTTGGATGACATTGATAAAATAACAAAAGGTAGAAAAAGTAGAAGAATATATGGGAAGTATATACGAATGGCTTATGTATATTTGCAAAGCATGCTTGCCACAAGGTGTCTGCTACGGTATGAGGAAATCGAGAGACCCCATAACGATCCTACCCATAACTTCTGCCCACTGTTATCCGTACACGTTTTGTGGCGGTCAAAATTAGGAGCTTTGTGACTTTATCCTAATTGTAATATGTTGCTTACATTATGTCTCCAACGACAATTCAGAAATATTTCTTGTTCTTATTATATACTACATCATTTAGAAAAACGTATATCTTAATTAAATGTTGTTATTTCGAGTTCCTAAAGGTATTTTCACTGGTTTATTGATAAATGTAAACAGTTGGAGGTTTGTTAAATTGTGTGTGTGTGTGTGTGTGTGTGTGTGTGTGAGAGAGAGAGAGAGAGAGAGAGAGAAAGGGGAGGGGATGGAGATATATATACAACGAAATTTTAAGAAAATGTAACAAATGGCGTGACATTTGGAAAAAAACTGTATCAACTCCTTTTCTTTTAAGATATCCGATGAGTACCCCACAACCTTAATATGGGAATATTACCAGACATTTTGGAGAAACAGCACATTTTTAACTCATTATCATAAAAAATAAATATGGGTCTTAAACTACCTGTAACACGATGCCGGTGGACCCCGTATGCTGGGCGCGTTGTTGGCTAGATTGTATTTTTTCTTGTCGTCTGCTTCTTTGACCTACCCAATAACTTGCCAATAACTGCCAAAAGCTTCAACAAGAGGCTCGGGTAAACTAAAAAATTAGTACAAATGAAGCTGTACTTACAGTTTTCAAATTTAAATTTACATATGTTCGGACATGCATCAAGGTTGCAAAAATGCATACAGATATTTACTTTAAAAAAACGGTATTTTTTTTTTCATTTACAGATGCAAACTGTATTTCCATGCACACAAAAATACGTCCTTCAGATAAGGGTCGCTCTAATTCGCGTGTTTCTACACGTATGTGTAGGCGCCGCACCCACAAGCAATACCAATGTAACGCACCTGCACATTGTGAAAAGCAATGAACAAAGTACGGGTTAAATAAGGTTAAGTTAACAACATAATATAGGTAAAAGATGTATATTAAGTCCATTTCTTTCGCAAAATCCAACCAAATGCCAGCATATACAGGGTTACTACTTAATATGGAATATTATTTTTTGGCGAGTAAATTTTCTACAAAGTATTTATTTTCTCTCTTACTCTTTTAAATCCAAAACTAAGGTGTCACTTTATGTGTAGCCATGTGTGTTACCTAATTACCATGCAACTTTCGAAACAATTAATGTAACGAGGTGCATGTTCTGTGGTCAGAAATGTGAGGGGTGGTCTTTTCGGCAATTTCTGCACTTGTATAAAAACGCATGGGTTTGGTCAATCTTTGGAGTGTATTTAGAGAAGCAACAAAGGGATCGCTCTGAAACTTGTTAGGTACCTTATAGAAGATATGATTCGACAGCTAAGCAACGCAGCTTACTATGGGATTCTTGCTCTCAGAGAAAATGTCTAGAAACGGACAGCCATTGCCAGACAATTCAACATTTTTCAGGAACCGTTAGTAAAGTCCTCCAAACAAATGCTACAACAGGGGCACCTACTCCAATACTTCCACCAGGGTGTCCGCGTACCACACCAAGATGACAGGATCGCCTTCTCCTTAGAGTGCGCAGTGCTCAAAAAAGGGTGGCAGAATTCCTTTCAAACGCCCGTTTCAAGGTCCCTTGTGAACAAGAGATTACAGCAAACTGTTTATTTTGCACGAAGACCAGTACGGAAACCACTGTTAACAGCAGGTCATATACAGCGACGTCTGCAATGGGCTGGGGACCACGTGCGTTTGCAGCCAAAACACTGGAATCACGTCGTTTTCAGTGATGAGGCCAGATATGGAAT